ATATATATATAGGCCTATTTCCCTATTTCCATATATGAAACTGCATGCATGATCAGCAGAAAGGCTTACCCCCCATACACACACTTTCACACACACACACACACACACACTTTCACACACACACACACACACACACACACACAGGCTGACATTGTGCGCCTTGCAGGGCGGTGTGAGCTGCAGAAACACTGTCCACTCTGCTTCACCCCACTGGCACGCGAAGCCACATCATCATCTAAAGCGAGAGACGCTTCTTTCTCTGCAGGGATTTTATTCTAATCTGGAGGCTTTTTTTTTTTAAACAAAAACTAAAAAGAAAAAAAAAGAAAGAACGAAGGTGAGAGGAAGCCGGTGTGTATTTGTTTGCGCGCGCGGATCGTTTCAGTGCGGGGGATGAATGTAGGTTGTGGAAGGTAAGGCAGCCGCGGACTGGGTTATGTGTCTTTATGATTTACGAGCCTGACTCCAGCCGCGGTTCAACCAGAGTTCATAAAGCTGCATGCCTCCAGACGTTATTCTCTCTCACTGCGTCTCTCTTCGCCCTTAAAAAACAACTGCTGCTTAATAATTCTGTTCTGTTGGATTCAATTTAATTAAGATGTTTTTTTTTCATCTTCTTCTTCTTTAAATCGCGTTTCAATTCAGGGAAGAAGCAGAAAAAAACAGCTGCAGCGCACAATGGACTTCTGTTTTATTCTGTGTTTGATGGAGATGGATGACTTTTTTAGCAGATTGTGTTATAACATTTAATTTTTTTCCCTCCTTGAAAATGTTGCAGACAGCAGCATCCATTAACTGACAAAAGGCAGTTATTTATGAACAGTCACGGACCCTAATGTAGCACATTAATGTGATTTCAGTAAACACACAACAAAAAGACAAAGTATTTACTTTTATAATTATATTTAATGTATTTTCTATTTATGGGCCTATTTGTGTTTGTGTTTGTGCAATTAGTGCTACTGTTTGCCATTTGTTTTATTGCTATTATTATTAATATCTTATTCTTTTTTAAAGACAAACAAAAGTTCTATAATAAAACCTCGTTCATAATCACTTTTGTTTGTTTTAGCTGCTTTACCACACAATGAAAAAGACAATGAGCCTCGTTGTAGGACAGTGAGGTCAACACTTATTGTTAAATTATTTTATTTCTGCACATATTTTAGAAGATCCTCTGTTTTGGTGTTTTTTTCAGAGGGTTTATTTCCACCAAACTCTCATGTTCCCGTTGCCTCTCGGGCCATGGAGAGGCTCGCTATTCATGTCAGCATACTATTGAGTTGATAAGATGGATCATGTGGTCTCCTCCCTGATTCTGTCTCTTTTTTTCCTGGACCCTCTCAGGCCAGAAGCTGCAGGGCTCTCTGGAAACCTGCCATGTGACATTTGGCTGCCAGCGCTCCGTCAGAAGGTCAAAGGGGGCCCGGTGCACATTTAATGGAAATGCAGAAACCCGGTGCGACACAAAACACCCAGCAACAAGACTTCTTCTTCTTCGGCGAGGCTTTGGAGGATGTCGGCGGGTTCGGCGGCGCAGCTGCACGCCACCATTTGGTGCACGCTGAGACGTTTGAGCGCACGTTCCCCCGAAGGTCAAAACAGCAAAACACCAAGTTTCCTCCGAGCAAAAAGATTTTCCCCTGGATGAAAGAGTCCAGGCCCTCAAGTGAGAAACACGGCAGGAGAGTCGCAGGTCTGTATGACGTATGGAGGCGTTTTCAAATGAGGCCTTTTCATTCATGTCTCCTTTAACGAGCTCTTAATGGAGGAATGAGGTCATATTTCTCCTTTTCACGTTCAAACCGTAAGGTGGCTTTTAATGGAGCTATACAGTCAGGCAGCAGCAGGATGATAAACACACATTGGCTCATTTAGGCTCCCATCTTTTTATTTAGAATCATAATTACATTGAAAAAATTACATTTAATTCCATGGCTTCAAAACAAATACAATAATATAAATGATTGGGACAATACACATGAAGTTAAAAGTGAACAGAAAGAGTATTAGACTATTTTATTTTAGTAGAGTAAAACATGAAAGTTTCCCTTCATTTAACTATTCATTATTTTAAAGATTTTAAGGCCTGATAATAATGTGTCCCTTTAAATCAAGTCTTTTGTTGTTGTTGTTTTTAAAATATATTATCCAAGTTTGTGTCAGAGGCCTGTTTACAATCTGTACCGTTAAATCTTCATAGAACAAATTCTTATTTACTCAGAACTCACCACTTTAGAAAACCTAACAAACAGCTGAGTTCTTGGACTCCATTTTTTAAATGTGGTCACCTGCTCATACATCTCTCAATCATTTGGAACACCAGAACCCTGATTTAAGTAAACCACTTTGTGTTCTTTTAGTTTCTGTCTTTTCCTCTCCTCTCTCACCATGTTGTGCTCTCAGTTTTATTTATCAATGTAACCTTTATTCATACAGGCAAGGTTAGCAGAGCGTTCTGCTCTCTTCACAACAACAGAGTCAATGAATAAAAGAGAAAACTGAGACTCAGCAGAGATATGACAATGATCATGAAGTCATAAATAAAAAACACACCTCCCCTCAACAACCTTCCTTTCCTTTCCTGACTGTTTGTCTCCACAGACTGCACCGTCAACGAGAAGAGTCCAAGCGCGACCCCGGCCTCCAAGAGGACGCGCACCGCGTACACGAGCGCGCAACTGGTGGAGCTGGAGAAGGAGTTCCACTTCAGCCGCTACCTGTGCAAACAGCGGCGCGTGGAGATGGCCAGCCTGCTCAACCTCCACGAGAGGCAGATCAAGATCTGGTTCCAGAACCGGAGGATGAAGCTGAAGAAGGACGAGAGAGTGCAGGGCCCCATCACCACCAACTCGTCCTCCTCACCCCCGTCCTCCCCCTCCGCCCCGGGCAGCCCCACTCTGTCGAGCCTGGGTTATGTCCATCTGGGCGGGGATTTCCAGCCGGCCTCCCCTCCGCTCAAGTCCCAACAACACCAGTCCCAGCCGGCGTACCCGGCAGAATACTCCAAATATCCCGCTGCAACCTTCACGCACGACCCGCAGTTTAACGTGCGGTACGACACGCACACCACCTCACGCGCAACAGACCCAAACGTGGATCTTAACGGGTTATATTTCCCACAGAGCTGCACGCAGGACAGAATCATGCAGGCTCCAAAACTGACTCATCTGTAGCAGAAACACGTGAATTCCTCGAGTCTCCACAAAAACACCTCTCCCTTTAATGTATAGAAGAAGCCTTGTCTTGATGCATGTATTTATATTATTTATTTATTGGACTAATTCATCTAAATATTAGTCTCAGGTCTTATTTATTTGTATTTATTCACATTTATTCGTTTTATATACATTGTTGTGCGTACTTTTACGCATGGGCCTCTTCTAAACATTGTTTCAGAGGCTTGTGTATCTCAGATTAAAATGTTCCATGCTTTTATTGCAGCTCCATAAATAAAGGCAATTTGTTGAGATTTCACCAGACTCTCCAGTAAATACTCCTCTAAGAACCAATACAAAAAGACCACCGATAAAGCAGCTAAAACGTTGGAATAAATGGCAACTTTCCTTGTTTTTTATTTTGTAAAAGCTTAATTAGCACTTGAGGTCTATAACATAACATTAACTCTTATTTAATCACAGTCCTTAAGGTCCTTAAGGAGTGAGTGTGGACGTGAGAGTTTTTTTTGGGGAAGATATTACATTATCGTCGTTAAAAAGAAGCGAGGCTTATGGTTCTTCAATGCGTCTTTTGTTCTTTTTATGGGCGAAGTGGGCCACACAAGCTGCCAATCTGTAGAAAGAGCGCATGATGGATCACTGGATGCACTGCGCTGCTTTGGACTCAGAGTCTGTCAGGAGGACTCGTGATGCTGAGAGGCCGAAGAAATGTTTTTGGACCAAACTAGAAACATTTACAGAGAGCTTTTAAATGTAAAAGTTTAAGTTGAATAGTCGCGCAACAAAAAAATATATATATCTCAGTTTAGGCAATACACTAAAAAACGTTATGAAAAATGAGACTTTTTTTATTGTATATTATTACTTGTGTTTAACTTTACTGGCATTCATGTTTCGTTAAATAAATAATTGATCAGTCTATCTAGTGACTTTTGACATCTTCAAGACAAAAATAATATTTTCTAATCTTTAAGGCCAGTGTTATTATAACATGTACTAAATCCATATTATTATTATTATGTTAGATAGTGATTATTTTCACTGTTTGACATTTGGAGCTCTCGTAACACTGCAGTCTGAAACTGTGTTCTGATGTTTGTGTTCTTATCAGATGGATGAGCGAGTTTGATTGAAGCTCTTGTCATGTAAATGCGAGCCGTTTGATGGACGAGCCCGCAGACTTGACAGAGTGCTGCAGGTCCTTTGCCATTGGCGTTTAGCGGGTCACGTGTTGTGTCAGGAAGGTGATATGAGGGTGGAAGGCAGTTTTACAGCTTTGACATACTACCTAGAAGGTTAGGGCAAAGGGAGCACCGATTAATGACTGCTCGGTCTTGATCACTTGTGAACAAACAAAAGGCCCAAGTCCAGGATGAACTCCTACCTAGACTACCCAGTGTGCAACCGGGGAGCAAATATTTTCAGTGCCAAGGCCGGATACCACAATTTGAACCATGGATACGTGTCGTCCAACTCGTGCGCAACAAGTGATAGTTACGCACCGGACGGGCGCTTAGTTGCCGCAACTCCTGCGCCACACCAGACCCCGAGTCTCCCTCTGCACCACCAGACACACGTCAACCTGGATCTACAGTTTGCGACACCGGGGAACTCCATGTACGGGTCACCGCTGGAGTACGGACATCACCAGTACGGCCTAGCGCCCGAGCAGGACCGGAGCTTCATTCACGCGCAGGTTTCACCCGTCGGATCAAACATGGCTCCCTACACCGGGGACAGCTGCGGGCCTGGAGCTGCAACAGGCAGCCAGTATCTACATTTTGGAAACGGGGATCAGAGGCAGCAAGAATATCCAGAGAGTGTTTACACGAGGTTACCGCTCCAAAGTAAGGAGAAGGATTTGAACCATGTGGAGGAAACTTCCAAAACATTCGACTGGATGAAAGTGAAGAGGAACCCACCTAAAACAGGTTTGTTCATCCTGAGACAGATTGACGAGAATTAACTGATATTCAGAGAACCCACAAAACCTTTGACGCACAGTGCGTAAACTGTGCGTAAAAGCACAATTCAGTTGTTATAATGATGCACAAATTGATCTGAAAAATGTCTATTTGGCAACTAATGTTCTTCTATTTATTCTCATATGTTTCATTCACATCTAAACGCCATGCTTCAGCTCCATGACTTTCATGTGTTTTTCTCCATCATTCATTCATTCATCCATTTCTCTTTCCACAGCTGTCCTGTCGGAGTTCGGGATTCCCGGCCAGCACAACGTGATCCGCACCAACTTCACCACCAAGCAGCTCACCGAGCTGGAGAAAGAGTTCCACTTCAACAAGTACCTGACGCGGGCGAGGAGGGTGGAGGTCGCCGCCAGTCTGGAGCTCAACGAGACGCAGGTGAAGATCTGGTTTCAGAACCGCAGGATGAAGCAGAAGAAACGCGAGAAGTCGACCTGCGTTTTGGTCAAAGCTGCGGCACCTGTGGAGAAACTCGCCGACCCCGACAGCTCTCCAAAGGGAAAAGGGAAAGACTGTGAACCATGATGTGACTTTTGATTAAAAACAAACAAACAATAAGACTGTGGGCCTGAGCAGTTCTCCACTTCTCTCCTTCAGCTGCACACTTCCAGAAAAAAACTGTTCAAAATGCACGTGGACTTTGTGAAGTAAACAGGGTATGTTTGTGTCTGTTATGCACTCATAATCATTAATGCTGTTCTAGTGTTTGTAACCTTCTTGTCATGAGCCCATGCTATACGTGTTTTGTGTTGGAGCACTGAGGTACTCAGTGTCACTGTTTGCACTATTTATTTACAGGGTATTTTCCAACAACCGTTTAGATTTTTAAGCTTAATAAAGTTTATAAAACAAAAGGAAAGTGTTGTATTTGCTGTTTATGTAAAAATAAATGTTTCGACTGTAAAAAAAAAAAAGCTCAATCAAACTTTTCATTTTGATACAGAATTTGAAGTATTTTCCTCCGATTGTTTTTTTTAAATATATGTAAATAATAAATTGTTCTAAATATGAATGTTTTTGAATCGCATCACAAACTTCTTCCATTAATAGTCTCGCCAATGTCCCCTTGCATAATGTGACAAGAGGCATCTTTCACACACACGGGGTGGTTCCCAGTGACCTTTTCACCTCCAAATACCTCCGGGGGCTCTAAACATGACAACAAACTGCAGGGAGCCAGGTCGCACCCGGGATTTGTTACCCAAATTCTGCTTGGACACAGCTGACACAGGTTGCAATGACATCCACTTGTATTTTACATAATTTGAGTGAGACATTTTTAATCAAACCACCACATTTTTTCCTTTTAAAATCAGAGGAAGTGAGTCGATGATTTAACATTTTAAGTGCTGATTGTGGCCGAGGATCAACGTTTGCCGGACCGGACCACCTGGTTTCATGTAATGGTGAAGGGGCAGCAGTTTCAATATTTGCACTGGGTGTTAGGTTTGCACACAGTTTCTGCCCCAGCAGCACTGGCCTGTTGGTGCCCTTTTTTCCTAAAGCTGCGGTTCACACAGAGTTCAGGCTCGAATGAATGCAGAGTCAATCTGTCAAGACACCAGAGTGGCTCCGAGAACTCCACTCTTGGGCCTCTCATACTTGAGGTTTCTGCAGGTATTTCTGTCAGAGGTGCTGCACATTTTAACTGTAAACTAAACGATATGACTGGACTGTGAGGAAACACATCAGTGCTGAAAAAATGGACATTTATTCTTACAAAATGAACACAAATATTTTATATTATTTGTGGCATTTCATAAGTTGAAAATGCCTCAATGCGACATCTACTGTGTTAAATCAACCCTGATACAATGATGACATGGAGTGGACTAGTTGGGACATCATGAGATTTATATAAAAGAAAAATGTTAACGCCTTTTAATCAGAAGAGGCCAGGAGATGTCACAGAGCAACTCCTGCCACACACAGGTTAGTTAGTACTCAGACCTGGAGGTGAAGTTACACTTTAATATTTAGACTAAAAAGTTTAAAAGCCATCTAGTCAGCGTTCCGGTTTATGCAAAACTAAAAACTGTTATAAAAGTTCAGGGCATGTTTCTAGGAAATGGAAATCAGCAATCATTTGAAATGTATCCACATGCAGTTTTCCTCCAACTATATTAAAAATGAATACAGTTCCACTAATAGAAGTTACAGTTGAAATACCACACGGCCCATTACTGTAAATTATAAGAAGGGCTGAGAGGTTTGTTGTCGTGCATTTCTTTGAAAGCCAAAAGCTTCCAGAAGAGTCACAAGGCCAAGGACCGGGGAGGTGACGATCGATAAGGTGAATAGTGACAGATCCAACAACAAAAAAAGGGGGACGGTGCAGAAAACAAGCGTGGGACTCCATTCCAGAGGTGTGATCCCTGCCATCTCTGTAGGTAATACCTCAGCGCTCCCAGCGGGCTCTCCATCTGGAGGTGTCAGAGTCGGTGCTGCAGCCAACACGGCGGAGACAGATGTTCAGCATGGGGGAAGAGGAGGAGGATGTTTTTCACCTTCGGATTCAGCTCTTCGCCTTCTGCCGGTACAATGTAGGGCAAGGAGAGGAGAGGAGAGGATGGTTAATGAACACTGAGGGACAAGAGGGAAGATCATTTATGATGGCAAAAAATAATCAAAAGCTCTGCAGCACGATCACCTGACTGCACAAACACGAGGGCTATTAATACATACGGCAGCCAACATCTCTGTCCTCAGATATCTTACGCATCTTTAGCCGGCCCGCCTCCCTCTGCTCTCTGTTTGAGGTCAACCCGGTGCTGTTTGTACCCCATGCTGCTCGCAGTTGTTGCAGGCTCTTTTACAAGTCTATTGCCATGCTCACTTCCTTGGTTTTCTACCAGTTCCTCTGTCACATGTCACTCTGCAGGGTCCCAGGGCTTCAAAGGGGAACTAGATACAGTATTCATGGGATAACGGGGGGGCTGGTCATCTAAGAGATACAACAGTCACTTTTATTGCTACTTATCAAACACAGCTATTTAGGTTATCTATCATACATACAGTAGATTCTGTAGTATGCAGAGCATTATTTTGTTAAAACGATAAAGTCATATCTCCATTATTGTCCCTGTTGTTATATCATAAAGATAGAGAAAATAATTTAATGGCTGACTGAAGAAATACTGGAAAGTAAGAAGCAGAGCTTCAACTAATGATCATCTTCATCATCAATTCAATGAGCAGATTCTGTCCTCGATTAATCGTTTGGTTATCACAAAATTACAAAATTCCTAGAGCCCAAATTGAAGTCATGAAATGTCTTGTTTTGTCCGACCAAAAGTCAAAAATCCAAATATATTGAATCCACTACATCATAAGATAATTAAAAGCAGAACATCCTCACATTTGAGAAGCTGGAACCATGAAATGTTTGTCATCAAATGGAATGATTAATCAAAATAGTTGCATATTAATGTTCTGATTACTTGAGTTATTGTAGCAGCTCTAGAAAGAACCAAAAACGGTCAAAGTGCAATCAAGAAATCAGACAATTACTGTTTTTTTAAGAAGGTATCCGAGACTCTCAAACCCAACGGTAGCATAAACAGATGACGATGCATTTAGATTTCCATACGCTTTATATTATTATTCATTTTAATGGAAACTATACTTCTTAAGGAAGTGGTAATTAGAAGTACCTAAATAAACTATGACCAGTCACATGTGTGACTTTTATTCTGTAGATATTTATCAATATTAATTGAATATCCTCAGTTGAAGCCTTGAGGAGAGAAATGCTGCCTAGTTATGAATGGCACGCTCGCTTCTTCCTTTGTTGTGGCACTGAGGCTCTTTTTAGCCGAGGCTGGGAGATTCTTGACAACCATCCCCCATCCGAGTTAGGCTCTATTGGATCTGGAAGCGCCGGCCGACCTGAAGCTCCTGGGTCTCTCCCCCCCACCCCTGCGACTGCATCCTTTCCCCCTCTCCATCAGCATAGTAACTGAGAGAGACAAGTGACTTGGCCAGGGTTAACGTCTTAATACTCGCTGGGATTGCCTCCAGGATCCAAATGGCTACCCCTAATAGTTTTCCTCCTCCTGTGTGCCTGTCAGTCCGCCATGACTACATGCCGTAAAGAAAAACAAGAGTAGCCGAGAGGCGGCGTAACGAAGCAGCACAATGAAATAATGAGGGGTGGTGAGGAAGAATAGGGGCATCCATGAAAGGTTTTGGTGTGAAGGCTGGAAGACGCTGCCTGCTGCCCACACGCTGACGTCCTGGACACTTTGCATGGAGAGGCTGTACACTTGAAATTAAACCGGCTTCTTCCTTTAGAGCCCAGGAGAGGAGGGGGGGGAAACCAGAACTCAATCAGTGTCACGTCACATGGTTCAAAGCGGCCAATTCGATGCTGCCAGGAGGCTGAGAAATGCAAGGTGACAGTTCATTTTACCAGTGACAGTGTGTCGGTCTCGCTTGCTGGTTTCCCGAGTCAATTCCCAGCGAGCAGTGAAGGTTGAGCGTTGCTGGAGACAGACAGCAGCTATACCCCCCCCTTCTTCTTCTTCCTCCTCCTCCTCGTCCTCACCGCTCTCTCATCGACCCCGCTCTGCTTTGTATTCCAATTAACCGGACAGAGGGAGAGGCGGCGGTGTGCAGGATCACAAGCGCAGGCAGACACACTCTCCTGGCGTCCTTTCAGTCTCTCAATCCCTCCGATATCAATAGTGCTGCGCTTCCCTTTTCCTCTTTCCTTCCCCTTCCCTTTCCCCCATCTAGCCGGCTCCTGACAAGGGCCAGTTGTTCCAGGGGGATAATTCACAGATTCTTCTTTAACAACCGCCTCTAGGGACAATGTCTCGGTAATGAAAAATAGGTCCCTCTCACACATTCATACATCACGTGTAATAGAGGTGTGCAATCACTCAGTCGAGTCAACGCACTGCAAGCTCTAACTGCTCTCCTTAACAGACACCTCAAATAATGCTGAATTAATATTTTGAAATGGCTCATATATCCTAACATAATACAATTTGAATGATTTTCTATTCAATGCTCTCAGGGCTAACATTGATCTGAGTACAAGCTGAGGTAACCCCTTCCAAGTCAGTCAATATGTGGCTCACTGAAGGTTGTAGATTTAGCGCAACACATTTGCTCCTCTGTCTTTTGTGTCCTCAATCTATCATCACTTTTTTTTTTTTACTTCGCCGCCACTAAAGCCCCCCCCCCCCCCCCCTTACACTGACATATGTTTGAGCAATGGGTGGGTTGGGAATACAATGATACTGAGGAAATCCGAAAAGTAAACTACCTCTTTTTATCTCCTCGAGCAACACAAACATTTGCAACTGACCCTTAAGAATCAGGACAAACACCTTTTTTCTTTTTGTATCAAGGGGGTTGAATATGCTGTGACGTGTTTATATTAGGGCCACGTTTGAGCACCGACTTGAGATATTTGCTGTTGGATAAGGTGACACCTATTCTTACAGAGTGATTTATGCTCTTGGTTTAAAAACAAATGGTTATAGTATAATCTGCAGCTTAAATCTTTACACGATTTTTTGAACCTTTTAACAGAATCTTGGATGCAAATTCCTCATTTTAAACGAAAAACTTGCTCCTCAATCACAGCACTTCCTTTTCTGAAATAAAGATAAAGACAGACAGAGCCTGAAAGACAGGCATGGCTGCTTCACTGGACCTCTGGACTGCAAAAGAGTTTACCTATCTTGAGAATGCAATGTGGTGTGTGTGTGTGTGTGTGTGTGTGTGTGTGTGTGTTTTGTAGGACAGGATACACACACTCAAACACACACACACACCCTTCATGCCCTGAGGATCCTCCTGACTCTCTGTCCTGGCTCTATATCAGATCAGAGGGACCCGGTGTCCCTCCCCGCACCGCAATGCAAATGAAAAGGAATGCGCTGATAAAAGCCCAGATCCTAAAGATGAGAGGGCAGAAGGAGGACAGAGGCAGCGAATGCTAAAGGGGGGGGGGCAGAGAGCCTCTTGGGGAGATGAGAGGTGGCGGAGGAGTCAGTGTTGGTAGTAGCGGGAGATCATAGCCTCAGCTGCGTTTGATACAGGGCTTTTGTCGCTCTTTCAGCAGTGCATTGTTGGGTGGTGTAATCCCCGTCGGATTACAAAGGGCTTCCCTTTTCATATGGGGCTGACCCAGCAGGCAGGTGGCTGGGGCTCTGTGGAGCTGTCAAGGGGAGGGAACCCTTTTTTCCTGGGGAGGGGACCCCAGTTCCTCTTACCTTCACAGGGGCTTTTTGCTGGGAGGCCAGTCAGGCGCAGGTCAACGTGGGGACAATTCTGACATGGGACTCAACTCGCCCTGACCCTGTGGCTTCCTGTAGAGAGGTGACAGCGAAGGAGACCATCGTGAAATATCGAGCATTCAACATGAAATACAGAAAAATTTAAAATACGAAGATGCACTGAAAGGAAACGGCAGTTACTCCTGCAGATGTGGGTAAACATAGTTTTATTTAAGAGTAAAGCAACACAGGGTACATTTTTACTCTAATTCAAGATTTCAAGATTAGTGCAGCACCTAGAAAACATTTCAAGTTTCAAGCCTTTGGCCTGCAGGAACAACATGTGTTTAAAGCAAATGTGTAAATTATCCAAGCCTTTTATTTCATTACACTTTAGATGTGCTTCAAAATGTTGCAATCAGACTAATTTCTGTTAAAATACTCAGGCCTGTTAGTCTGTGAAATAGCAATTACTGTTGTGTATGTGTGTGTGATGTTGCTTAGGATATGAAATAATTATCTTACAAGCTTGAATACACATTAGTTCAACCTAGCCTTGACTGATATCCGGTGTATTCTGTCGATGTGAGCAGTGTCTGATTGAGCTTTGGTTCCTTGATGGCTTCTCTTGTAGTGTTTCAGTAACACGTGGATCAATAAGGCGATAGTCAGACCCACCACTGTTTCTATTAGTATCACTACTACCACCAATACCTCCTCTAATGTCAACCACATATATAAAAGCCCAGTCCAGTACATCCCATTGCTGTTCACCCTCTAATGGTAATATAAACCATTCATCCATGCCCTGTCAGATATAGTAAGGGACCAATTTAGTGATGCTGCATTCACGTGCTGTCTGAAATACCCTAATTAGTTTTCAAGCTTAAATCAAAGACCCATTAAAGTGGTAATTGTTGTAATTTAAAGAGTGAAAGTGAGAATTTCTGATACCCAATTTGACAACATGTGTTATTTAGCTATTTATTTATCTGATTTGGTAATTGATCCTTAGCTCTTACATCCTTTTTTTCTTGTATAGCTTTGATAAAACATCAGTTTAATCGCTGTGGATATGTATTTTCTTATCTTTTATGCAGCGGTTTGGTTGGATTTCTATTACAGGTTCCTATTATCTTAGAATTATTTTGCGAAACATCACTTTAATGTGAATGCACCACAACTTTGATTTACAATTTAAAAGAAAAACACATTCATACCTTAGCGTTAGATGTCGAAGTCGTATATAAACTTAGTAAATTTACCATAAAATAGAAAGTCTGTGATTTACGATTTTACAACTTCATTAGCCGATTGGGACGATATGAGTACCTGAACGCAGCAGAAAGGTGGTGGAGAAATGTATTTAGCTAGTGTACATGCAAGTAAAGCCAATTTAAAAAAAGACATAAAAACTAATTTCACCCTTTGTGTGAGGTTAGGTGGTAAATATGAACTTCAGGAAGCCTTCAGAGGCCAGGTTGGTTAACCTTAAACAAGCTAACGTTTACGAGCTAGCTAATTAGCGGTTTCCAACCGTCAGATAATGCTATGTATGCTAAGTTAGCTTACCGTTAGCTACAAGTCAGCCTCACGTCAATGTTAAACCGTTACAATTTGTCTTAACGTTAAGGGTAGACTGGTTCAGGTAAGCACTTTACGAGGTTACAAGAAACCTACATAGTGATAAGATAAGATACAATTTCTGGGCTAACGGTCATTGCTAATTAGCAGGTTAGCAGCAGTACTAGCAAGTACTAGCTACTTGAATTAACATCATTAGCCACATTAAGCTAGCTGCTAGCTTAACCAATATGAGGGAAATTATTATGGCTTATAAAACATTACTCTTACCACTTCCAGACGACTTAGTAGAATAAACATGTTGTATTTGTGGCTGTATGAGTAATGGTGTAGTACTACTAGTCAAATAATTCAAAACTCCAATAGACCATTTGTTTCACCACATAACTGGGACATTCTGTATAAACCCGGTCACCATCGTGAGAGTCTCTCCACTATTAATTCTGCATGATTAAATTTGCACAGACTAAACTATACTGGACAGAAGTTTTTTAGGCTAAAAAGAAAAGAAAACATACGGGAGCACCTGACAAAAAAACACTAGTTTGTATCAAGGGTTTTTGATATTATTTCAACAGTTTTGAAGATCTAAATAGTTTTTTTTTTTTTCAATTGAAGAAACCCCTTAGGGGCGTACAAAGTATTTTTCCTTCGATATAATGTGGGACTTTATTGATCCCTGTGGGGAAATGATCTGTTTGGTCTTCCCACTATGCAGGGAGGTCAGGCTGCAGAGGAGCAGCAACAGAGCAGCATATCTGGAGCTGTGTTGCTCAAGGACTCTTCAACAGTCCAGAGGCTGGCCAACCTGGACATGTGATCCCAGATCATTTGGTTAAAGAGTTGAAGGTATGACTGAGGGGATTTTCTGTATCATTTAAAGCACTTCTAAATGTAACTGGACATGGAAAAATGTTGACACGGGGATACATTAGTTGGCAAGTTATACAAACCAAAATAATTTGATTTCTGTTATCTATTTCCATTTGATTATGGGGCAGATTGACACATCTAAACAACGGAAAGCATAAAAAGAGAGGCAGAGATACATGTTTTCTCAGCAGCAGACAACAGTCATATTCAAAGTTGTCACAATGTTTTCTGAGTGTTTCGAGTTGCTCATTTCTTGATTCACCACAAACACCTGCATGTACATAATATATTTATCTAAAGATATCCAATGAACAGTATCAGGCCGTACAGAGGGGATTTCTCTGTGTCAGTCAAACCTTGTGATCAGCCCTCGACTGAGAAATGAGAGTGCAGAGAGGAAGTTGTCATCTTTGCACCTGCTCCACCCCATTTCGTGCAAATCTAGATGCATGCACGGAAGTCAGGTTTCAGAACAAGAGGACGCAGGTGGTTGGTTAGATGCTATAGGCTGTGCCAGGCTCTTCTTTCTGGCTCGGAGCTGTAACAGTATGACAGAGTCTGGGTGCACATAGGCTGCCTTTGTGGAGTACAAACCAAAAGTGTGAAGGGTGAAAAGTCAGCAAACCAAAAAGTCTGGAGTTGGAAAGGTGAAAGTTAGGGATGGGAACATTACCACTTGACATTAGGCGGCTTTTGGATGGTAATGTCTTTATTTTTTACTGTTAATAATCCTTTCTTTTTAAAAACAGTACAGTTCTATCCTTTGATCCTGTGACTAAATAAGATTGTTACTATAAGCAGGCATGTTTTTTACAACAAAATTACATTTAAAATGTACAAATGATATGATTCTACTGGTTGAGTTGAGAACACATGGACAGTTAAGTAAGCTAAACCTAAAAACATTACGTGTCACATCTTTCTTTTTATTCTTTATTTTGTTGCTCAGAAAAGCCTCGCACCTGCTGTTACTTGTAGTTGAACAAATGGAAAAAACTAGAGCACAGAGAAACATAGTTCTCCACACTTAGACTGTAAACTGTACAGTATTTTACTACATTTGCATTTACTGCTGCCGGCAGACGGGGCCTTTGGGAGAACATTTGCATGTGTCAGTCCATTTGTGTAGCATGGGAGAACATAAAGAAATGGAATCAGATACGTGATGTAGACCGACCAGTTTTACAAACTAGGGTCTTGCCTTACTGGGTAATATTATTATGACTTACTGTATATTAATGTGATCAAGTTTACATATTTAATACGACAGTGAAATGAAACAATAACCATGACTTCATCCATTCTACAGACATTAGAAAGTGTAATGTCACAGTCTTACCTCTCTTTGTCTTTGGTTTTCACTTTCACAGGTCAAGCCACACAAACACTAGTTTATGTTTTTAAGCCCTGAAGAAGCAACGTAGTAGTAAAACTATTAACGGCCTCAATATTTTAGTCGCAAGTTAGCGTCACAGAAACAAACACCAACCACCGCGCTGAATGAGTTTCTGTTTGAATGATGTGCTCAGTAAAGGCAGTGGACACCAAAACAAGAAGCGTACTCTTTGTAACTTGAGGCGGATTTAACTTTAAAGGATCAAATGTATGTGTGTATAGAAATGAGTTGTGATAATAACTGCAAAGGTTGTTGTGTTGGAATGCATAATAGAAACTTTTATTTTGAAATTATACTCCAGGGTCATGATATTCAGTGACCTGAGGACAGACGACTCATAATTATGGGATCTTATCTTTGTACATAATTAGAGCAAATATCGAGGGTTCTATCCCTCACAAATATTCTAAACTTGATCATACAAAGTATGTGTTTGAATCCTTCAGAATTGTGTCCTTGAATGCCACACTCACAGTGTTTTCTGTCCTCTTCAGACTGTGAGCTGTTTGTATCAGAGATCCTTCAAGACGAGGTGCTGGGTGAAAATGCCCAAGAGACACGGAAGGTGTTACTGAACAACTTCAAGGTCGTCCATGTCCGGTAGGGTTCTCCCTCCAGAAGCAGCATTGCATCAGTGTTTAGGAAAGCTTTACTAGTCAAGTGTCAAAATGTAATTTCATGGCACGATTATCTAACTTTTGCTGTTAATGCCAAACAATAAGCTTAATTATTGCTGTGATTGCTTTAAACACAGTTTTCAAAATTACATTTGAAGGAGCTCATTTAGTGTAATGGTGTCACCTTCAAGACTTCATGCTCGCTCTTATTTGTTGTTGTTAAAAGTGTTTAAAGATCTCTGTTTTGATCTGGATTATTAAATCTTAATGTGATGTAATTTACAAGCGTGATGAACAGTCCATGAACCCCCAAAAAATGGAAACTCTTGCATGAAGTGCGATAGTTCACTCCGGAAACAGCTTCCTGCTCTGCTCGATATGAGACACTTGCTCTGGTGCAGAAAACTTGTGGTTTTGTGGTCTTCCGTGCAAGAAAACAATTGCTGAATTTTTAAAGCAATACTAAAGCTGACGCGTCTGACAAATGAAAAGCACAGAAAGCTTTGTAATTCAATGCAAAAGGATTTTGATATATGCTTATTCTGATTTATTTTTCACAGAAACCCTCAAGAATTCCCCTTCCCAACATGTAAGTGAAACTAGAATCTCACATCACACACTGCTGTGAGTGTATGTTTGTATGAGTGTTTGATTACATACTCTGATAGAATTAAGTGCACAGATTATTTATTTATCATCTTTTTGTGTTTCACACATTCAGCGGACTTTAGGAACGACGACAGTTCTGATGACAACCGTAGTTCCAGTCTGGGTCGCTCTGCCCCATCGGACGACGCCTCAGTAGCCTCCGACTACCAGGATGATGGAGCCCCTGAGTGTGAGTTAACAATAGTCCTGATTCTGATTCCCTATATGTGTGTGTGTGTGTGTGTGTGTGTGTGTGAGCGAGATCTTAGGCTATTTGCGCAGTGCAGAGGTCTTAGCTGAAAAAGGCCTAATTCTAAATGTCTATGTGCGGCAAAGCAGCACTGATGGCTTTTTCTTCACATTAAATGAAAAAAAAGAATATTTCATTTGAGCAGCATACATGAACATAGATTACATATATATATTTCATACCATGTACTTAAGGACATTTTAACTCTAACAAGGGAACCCACATGTCTATATTATCCGTGTGAACATGCTGAAAGGCTACAGCGTGCGAGGAATGCTGCACCAACAAAGGAGAAGGTAAGACGGAGGTGTCGGTGTCACAGGAGACGGTGCGGTATTCCTCTGAGGAAAACTAAACAAATCGACCATCCTCGCTGGCACACCTACACCTCGCCACAGGAAGCACAGTGGAACCCGTCTGCTGGATATTGTTGCTTGCTCTCTTAATTTGAAAAAACAGACAGACCACATCTGTGAACACCCCCCCACCCCCCTCTCTCTTTCACTGGCCTCCTACCTCTCTGCCTGGCTCCGGTGACATCAGTGACTCCTCCTCCTCCTGGCCAGTGTAGGCAGGTAGACCGTCCTGATGCCGGTGAGTTCTCGGAGGCCGGATTGGGGACCTAGAGCTCCCTCCAGTGGCGGATCCTCAGCTCCTGATCCCTCCCCTTGAGCTGTGTGTGTGGACTGTGGGAGGCCGGCCACACAGAGAGGAGGCTTTGTAGCTGCAGGCTAATGCCGTGATTGATTGACCCCGAGCCCCTCTATTCTTTCACAACCGGGTTTGAAATACAACACTGTACCTGAGGGGCCATGTGTGTTCCATCCCTCTCTCCCTTTATCAATCTTTCTCTCTATCTTCCCTTCTTGGACTTGCCCTCCCCCTCCCATTCAGACTTTTTCTATTTCTGACTCTATGTGCCAGTTAATAGCCCTTGACGTGACATGCCGCAGGTGGGCATTTATTGACCCGGCTGCCTCAGGTGCCCATCTGTACCCTCTGCTTTCTTTTTTTAGCTTCTTTCCTGAGGTAAAGCTGGAATCATGGGCAATTTCCCCAATAAGGAAAAAAGAACATGTCACCGCTTGCAGTCGTTTTGTGATACCGATAGTCGATGCCAGCTGCATGTAGTAAAAGAAAAAAAACCAGATTTCTCCTTTTTTGGAAATGTCTTAATGAAGTCTTCGGTCCTCTGCCCACAGAAGAGTAACTGCTGCCTTTCTCTGCAACTTTGGAAAAATAGAGTAAACAAATCACGGCAGATGGTGGGAAGATAGACCACAAGACAGCGCTAATTCATTTCTTTGAATTGTTCATTTTAGAATAAACAAGGCGAGATTTGCTTCGGGAAACAAACAAAATCAAACAATAAAATGCTTTAAAAAATTCCCTTAAGGCTATAACGATAACACGCCCAACTAAAAACTACGCCGTCTGTTACTGTGGATGCGATAGTTGTTAAAGCTCGAGCATTGTGTCAACCCGTTGTTGGAGTTAAACGTGAGAAATAGCCAATTATGCGGCACTTCCACAATCCTCTTTTTTCTTTCATTTGCATTTTGCTTTGAATATCGATTGTCCCTCGACACTAAACAACCACAAAAAAACACACATTTTTATTGTTGGATCAATAATCATAACATTTGATTCTGTTAGACGAATTCACACCTCACAGCTCGCGTGTCTTTTTATTGCTGCGCCCATGTTGGCGTATTGAATGGCCTGTGTCCTCACTAGAGAGGGCATGTGGAGTTCATAGTTCATTCTCTGTTCACTGCCGGTTGAAAGACTCGGCTCACGCTTCTCTGCTGGGCGGTCGCTTTTCAATGGAAGAGGGAGTGTTTGTGGAAAATAATGGTATGACCACTTTAATGAAATCAGTCGCATTTTCTTTTTGGAGGAACAATCATCCATGGTGACGAGTTGAATTTTCTTTTATTCCTTTAAAATGCAAAAATCAGCACCTTTTTGTTTGCTAAAAATGAAAGGTAATTTTGTGATTTAGAGAAAAAAGCATTTAGCTTTAAGGAGAAGGTAGAAAATGGAGTCGTTTTTTTCCCCTCTCTCAAGTTTAATTGTCTCATTTTATTTGAGGCTACTGTACACAAAAGAGACTTTGTGAGTGTGAGAATGTATTATCCGTGGTAATCGACTGCCTGCCTTTCGCTGCTCTCTGTCCCCTAACCAGAGAGTGAGTGAGTGTGGAGTCGATGGCTGCTTCTACAGGAGGAGCCTGTGCCGTTTGATTAGATGCGGTGGCCTGTTGTCTTCAGCGGACTGGGTGACACCACATTTGTAATGGCTGACGGGAACAGATGGAGCCTCCATTGTTTCCCGGGTGTCTGCATGGTAATGTGAACTGAGTTTCACCCGCCGACCGCACCGGTGACCTGACCAGCGCATGCAGCCTCACCCCAGCCTCGTCTGCCCCCTTTACCACCCTCCACCTCTCTCTCATTGCCATTCCAATACATTTTGCATACATCAACAAATACGTACAATTTTATCCCTCCGGCGTGTCTCCTTTAACACACACACACATGTATATAGACCCCAGGAGACAGCCGGAGATGTGGGGCTTTTAGCCCTGTCATGCTGCTTGCAGGTCAAGTTTACCAAGTTGAAATGGCCCGTTTGTTTTTCTTTGATTGGTGGAGCACTGCTGGGCGCTCGGGGATGTTTGCTTGGAAGCTGCAGCGATGACAGAGCACCGCGTGAAAGTGCTTTGTTTCAGGAGGCGTGCAGAAAAAAAAGATGCCGCTCTTGATGCGTCTCCCTCGTCTTCTTTGTGATCGTAACGATTCTATTATGGTCTGTGTTCTGCTCAGGTGTGGATGTGGTATTTATTCAGAAAACCTAGATGTCATGTTGTTACTCATATCAAGTGACTTTATCTGTTTGTGTCACAGTATGTAATCTGGCATATGTTCTCTAATATTTTAGATTGATAAGAAATGTCTCGGAGGTCCTTTACTTTTACGTGTGGGCAGGTGGGGCTGCAAGTAATGATTGTTTTAATTATTTTCTTGATTAATCAATTCACCATTTGGTCTATAAAATGTCTGAATATAGTGAGAAATGTTAGGTGACTTCTTCACATTGCTTATTTTCGACCCAAACATTTGCAGTTTTAGGACAAAGAAAAGCATTTTCTTACATTTTGGAGAACTGGGGAATGTTTTGCATCTTCACCATAAAAATGACTGATGTGTTTAATCAATGATCAAAATAGTTGCTGATTAATTCCTGCTCATTAATCAGTTAATAGCCCCAGCACTAAAGGCCGGTGCGGTCTGTTGTGTTAGCCTATTTAAAGAATGCAGGAATGGGACTCCTGTCAGTGATTACTTTGCCGACCCAATTTCCTAAAGCAATTACTTGCAGTAGAATGCAGTAGGATAACCAATTTGAATTTATGCCTCGCTGTTGCATATTTCTCATTTGAATATGAGTAGCTAATGCACAGTAACAACATTATCACGCAGTGCCGGTAAATAGAATATTAAATCTAAATTTTTGTCATTTTGGCTGCAGCTTTAAAAAGCTGTATAGAGTGAAGTGCTTTCGAGGGTGTGTGCCCGGGTCTCTTGGCTGGTGAAACGGGGGACAGAAAAGTTGCCAGCTGAAGGATTGGTGCTCCATTAGAGGGTTAATCAGCAGGGTTTAAAGCGCCAACTAGCCCCTCGTCTGTGTTTGAAGGCACAATTAAGTCATGGAGAAAGAGTGTGTTTCTGGGTGCTTCATGGAGGAAGAAATTACATTAAAAGCACAAAAAGGTTGAAACATTTATCCCATTTATTTTCTCATTTGCATGCAGCACCTGGACAGTATTTCATGTCTGCTTAGATGACCTCTTCCAGGTTTGTTGACCTGTGGTTGTGTTGTCTGCCCACGCACTGAACTCTTGACTTCTGACCTCTTGCACGACCAACCTGTGACCCGTCTGCACTCAGTCCAGAGTTGTGGGAATGATTTGGCCTTCCTGTCACACAACGCCCATCCGTCAGGAAGTTTCTCTGGAGTTTCTGTGATGGCTGATCTACTGTATCTATCCGTCAGTAAAATCCGCCTGAAGTGGAGATGAATTTCTCACGGCATTCATCGGTGTATGGATTTCTTGACATTTGGATAGCGGCAGCTCGTTTAGGAAGCGAGGAATATGTTAATGACCTCCAGTCTTCCTCGTTCTCCCTCGCTCCCCTTTCCTTTCCTCTCTCTCTCTATTACAAACACACACACACACACACACACACACACACATTACGAGGCAGGAGCAGGCTCTGTGCATCGCTGCGACTGCTCGCCACCAGGGTTCAAAAGTTCACACTATTCCCCGAGGGCTACTGTGCTGCTGCAGATGCTGATAGTCTTTTCTTTCTCTCTTTCCCTGCTGCCTTTCTCTCCCTCTCTCCCTCTCTCCCTCTCTCCCTCGCTGTTTACACTATTAATCTTGTACACTCTCTCTCGCACACTCACTCACGCTGCCTGGCAAGAAGAGAGCGGCTTGAAGGGGGGATTTGGACGTATTTAACCGAAGGGCATCCATCACTCTCATCTCCGGCTTCACCCCCACCACCGAAAGCCACACCGTGTAGTTTTCTTTTTTTTGCATCCTCTCGTTTTTTGTTTTTTCTAAGCCCCTCTGATGCAGCTCTCCCCTCATTTGCTTTGTTTTATTGTTGCATTGCATATAATTACATCCCTCGGTTGCCTCTGGTGTAGCGCCGTTGTTGAAACCCAGGGAAAACAAGGCGAGGGGAAATGTGCAGCAGTCCATCTGTAAAGAGGCACATAGGCAGAATGCAAAGTGGGGAAGCTGGGGCAGGGTGGCTCCTAATCTCCCCCAGAGCTGTCAATGTCACAGACAAATAGCAAAACTATCAGATGCGGCGGGTTCACCCAGAGGTTAGCGTTCCCAGGTACCTCCTGCATTCACTCCC